GTGTGATTGACCATATATATATATATATATATATACTGAATACTGACTTTAATCTCAGAAATCTGAGGGGGAAAAAAAAAGTCAAAATTCAAGATTTTTTTTTTTACTGTGGCACTAATCCTCTTCCATACTTCAGGCCCAGGTCTTCTTTACAAAAGAGCTCTGTGACCTCAGTGGGATTTCCCTGGTTAAATTAAAAATATATATATATTTGGACCACCGTGGCCCTCATCTTCTTCTGTACCTTTTCACAGAACCTTGCTTTAAAATGGGTTGTAAGCTCATCCAGGTAGATAACAACAAAAAGATTAAATCGTCATCTGGACCACTTTCTTTAAGTGAGAAATGTTTTGTCTCCCATCCAGAGGACTTCCGTCTATGACCTGCCAACCAGATCTGTCCCTTAGGTAGCCTTCACTGTTGTGTTTCAAGCCAATGAAGGCTACCTATGGGACAGATCTGGCTGGCAGGCCGTAGACTGAGGAAGTCCTCTGGATGGGAGATGAAACATTTCTCACTTGAAGAAACTGGTCCAGATGACGATTGAACCTTTATTGTTCTTGCTTTAAAACATCCAAACCATCACTTTAACAAGGAGACTTTCATCTCAAGCTTGTAAATGAGCCTATTATACCTTTCTTAGGTGTCACGTTTCCATGGTAACATAAATTAAATAAATAAACAGACGTGGAATTTGCCTCGGCAGTGTGAACTGGCAGCACAGGACCTTTTTGTATTCCTTTACAGCCGGCAGGGAGGAAGGTGTGACTGCAGGTTTCTGCACTAAATGCTTAATAAGTCCAACAGCAGCTGCAGAAAAATGATAAGATTCATTTCTTCTGCCTGGTCTGGTTTCACAGACACAACCTGCGACCCTCCCGTCACCTTTTAATTTAAACAGAATGCAATGTTAGCTCCGAGCTGCTGAAGCGAATCCAGCGAAGGTGTTTATGAAAGCCTCGTCTGCTTCGTCTCTTCACGAGTCTGAATGAAGAATGTTCGCTTCGGCTTTGTGAGATCGAAGGAAGACTATTTTTAACGATTCTCAGTGCGTTTAGTCACACTAAACGTCAAATATACCATACATATGTATGAAATAACTGAAGAGGGGTGACGAGAAGAAATGAACTTTTTCTTGACATCTGGCTTTTTAGAGAGCTCCTCAAGGTGCTACACTGTAAAACAAAGGCTTTTCTCCGAACGCA